ATTCATCGAAACTTAAAGATATTTTCTAAAATATCTCAAGTTTATTAATTTCAAACTTTAATTTACAATTTCAAAGTAATCAAGCAACGCCGATTAAATAATAATTTAACTTTTGATTATTGATCATGTCTTTTAGTAACGCAATGGGTGCTCGTCTGTCCATCTGTTTACAGATGCCAAGCTTAATATTATATAAACAAGCAGATCTTAGCGCAAATATTATTTGTAAATTTTTGACAAACTTCTATATGTCAGAACTAAAAGTAATTTGTAAATTTTGTATATGCTCAAAAAATCAAAATACTCCAAATATTTTTCTTGTACAGGGGGTTTGTTTCCCCTCAAAATTTGGAAAATATTATTCTACAACAGCGAAAATGGCCCAGTAATACTCCTAAATTAGCAAATTATGACGTAGTATGAATTTTTTGAAAATTATTGGTCTGAATTTTCTCCTAAAACTATGCAAACTTATATGATCATAAAAGAATTATTATAACATGTGCTTTTCGTTATTTAGACTTAAGTTATATATTTTATATATGACTTAAGTTATTATATTTTATATATAGGCTTAAAGTCTTAAATGGAAATATGCTGTTTTATAATCCATGGGTTTAATAGATTATATTTTTTAGCACTTTTCCAAAAAAAAATTTTGAAAAAAAGTGCTTATTACTTTTACGCTGTTCGTCCGTCCGTCCGTCCGTAGACATGTTCACAAAACTTTTATATTCATTTTAAATTTCATACGTACATTTCAACTTTACTAGTAACTTATTTTCGTGGAAGAAAATTTTTATTTATCTCCTACCTCTAAAAATTATAACTATTTATTAAAGAGTTAATAGTTAAGTTATTTTTTGATATTTTTTTTCTTCTAGACCGAAAGGTTTAGAAGCCCAAAATTTTAGCAGCCTTTAGGCACTAATAATTATTTCATTTCATTGGAAGAAAATTTTTTCCACTTCCATCCCCTCTCAAATTATCGCCTTTCGAAATTTTTAAAATTCCAATTTTTAGCAACTTATATTTTCGAAACTGCGAGCTTTTCCGAATTTCTATAAATGCAGAAAGCTAACAGTAAATGCCATGACATTAAAAAATATAATTATTTTCCTTAACTCACGCAATTAATCCTAAAATTCGAGTATTATATTATCGGCTCTTTCAATTTTATTTTATCTCATCCTAAATGTATGCAATTTTTAAAATATAACAGTAGATGAATGAAAATAACTTAAATAACGTAAAAGCTAGATTTTTTTTAATTAGAATGTTAATATCTAGATTGTGTTTCCATTTGTTGCAGGGAAAAGTGCTACTTTACAAACCATTGGTTAAACACAACTTTATTTATTGTTATTATTTAATAAAATCATCTATATTATGTTTGAGTTAATTTTGTTATTGTCGTCAGGATTTTTAAGTTCAGGAACTGTTTAGGTACACTTTTAATTAAATAATATATAACGTAGTGTAGTGTGATATAATAAAATGTAATGCAAAAAAATTATAATATGTAATGCTAATAGTAAACCATAGTGGCTTATTTTATTTAAAAAAAAAATTTTGATATGTTGTGAAACTTTGTACCGACTCATATTAATCAAAATCAAACCGAAATTTTTTCCAAAATGGCGTATCAGAGGGTAGTAATTCAAAAATATATTTAATTTTATCAGAAAAATTTTCATTTCATCTTCAAGTTCGTTTTTTGCGATCCTTAGGTGTATTGAACATGTTATTGAGTTCATTAAGAGTATTTTAACGAAATTATTTGCATTAAGTAAATCTCACTAAGAAAATTATAACATGCTGAAAGACAAGTTAGAAAAAGAAGGGTGCAAATTATTATACCAAATCATTATTCTTTTTGTGAATATTTTTGTTACTATATGAAAATAAATTGATCAAATGTTATTTCATAAATTTATTAATATTTACTTTAAATATTCGAAATAAATACTTGGAATTTTGGAGAATTAATAATTTTATGTCTAAAAAAACTACAACAAAATATCAAATTCACGTAGTATAACAACAAAAGTATATAATTATATCGTGACATTTATCAAATGTTATTAATTTTCAAAGTGTAATTAAATTATTGGAATTGTGATAAAGTCACGGAAAGTAAATATTGTTATCGTTTTTATCAAATACATACTTTAATAAAGTTTATTAATGTTAAAACCAAATAATAAAATACAAATATATGAAATATTTATATGTATGTTCACATGAAGGCTCCTTCATAATTAAGTGTTTTATGTGCACCCATAGCAAAAATTTGTTAAAATTTTATATTTAGGATTGCTTATAGGATTGCTATGATTCTTCAAACAGCATAATATTTACCGAATTTATATGAAATTTGAGGTTTATAAAAACAAAAAAAAATTCGGAGATGTTCAAAAATTTTTTCCCTGAAGATTCCTTAACATATTACTGTTCTTCTTTTCTCCTGCCAAAATTCTTCTTCATTCTATATATATATATATATGAACATATTGGAGGTTATAATCAATATTTCTCATTTTCTTTTGTGTATTTTTAATGCAAAAAAAATATTACTTATTTCGATGATTTTCAAATCTTTGGGGGTACTTCTATCCCTAATCTATGCGTTAGTTTTGTAAATCGAAATTTTCAAAAATGTGATAGCGCCAAGTAGTGTCGCCTTTTTTATTATTCTTCTATTTATATTTGCTTGTCAGAATTATTAAGGGCAATTAGAAAATGAAAACAAGAAACTGCAAACAAAATAAAATTTTGATTGAATATAAATTATAGTTTAATTAAGTAAATTAAATAAATTCAAGAAAAACCGAGTTTTGTTTTATTTTCAAGATATTTAAGAAATGAAACTTTAAATATTACTTTACCGAATGGAAATCACAAACTCTGACAACAAGACGTGAATAATTTTACTTTAGTTAAATTATTCACGTTATGTCAGTAAAATAAATTTATGTGATGTAATATTAAAATATTCTTATTTAAACTCATTTCAATTTACCATATTAATTTCTGAAACTTACCATATTATTTTTTGGAACTTCAATCTCATAATGAACTGGAATATTTGGAGACTTTTTCTCGAAATCAACCCATGAGCAAAGATGTTTTAAAGTTTCTTTTAAAGTGAATTCAAACAGTTGTTGTTTAAAATTAAAAGCACTTTGAAAAATAATTCAATATTCAGTGAATTCATTATAAAGTGGATGACACTGTTCTGGGGAATTAAGTGAAATATTTAATTTTTAATGAAAACATTTTTTTTAGTTAAGAAAAAACGTAGTTGATAAAGAATAATGTTGGGAAATTTATCATTGTTGTTAGTAAATTTATTGAATTTTCTATAATAAAAATAATATGAATATTTAATTAATGAAAGCACCCAACAATTACATACATACATCAATTCTTATAATTATAAATATTTAACTTTGGATATTTATTTATTGTCGACAGAAATTTGTTGAAGGCTATAAATTCTTCATTTTGAAAATAATTTTGTTTTTATACATATAAATGTTTGTAAATGTATTTTTTGAAATCGAATCAAAATTTAATATTTTTATATACGCATATCTACTTTATTTTATTCGTACATATACAAAATATAATATAATAGCATGAATGTGTGTATGTACATATGTACGTAACATCAAATAATATTGATAACATACAATATAAGTTTAATATGAAAAATTATAAAAAAAACAAAAGAATAATAAGAAAATTTTCCACGCCCATTTAATAGTTGCTGTTTTATATTTTTATATAGACGCAGGTATGAGAGGAAAGGTAAAAATAAAAAATAAATATTAAATCGTCGATTGGCCATGACAAGACAATGTTGTAAGAAGTAATAATAAAAAAATAATAACAATAACAAATTATATTAAGAATATTAAAAAGCAAAACAAAAATATAAGCAAACTAGCAGGGGAAAATAGCAGTTCTCTCCCATGATTTCGTTTTTCTATAAACAAAATATAAAAAACACAAAAAACGAAACAGCAATAAAAAATTTTATATTAACAATTAGATCAAAAATCATTTCAACACAAGGAAAATATTAGAGACTTCATTAAAAATATTATTAACAAGAGAAATATGAGAGAGAGACTGAACGTATAATAGAAGTGTAATTTTCTTAAATCGTCAATCGCGATTCTTTTACATAATAAATATAATAATAATAAAAATTATATTTTTATTTCAAATACATATAAATATGTTTTATACAAAATATACGTATCGTAAATACTATTGATTTGCACACACACACTCCTGAATTCATTTATAATAATAAACATGAGGAAGCATAAGCAATCAAAAATGAAGTTCGATAGAATAACAGAACAATCATCGTTACAAACTATATAGGTACACAAATATGTATTTAAATTCATACATTGTATGGAATTTTAAGATATAAAATTTAATAATAAAAGTAGATGAAATAAAATGATACCAATACAAATAAAGAAAAAATAAAACACACATTTACACAAAATAACAGAAAAAAAACTTGATTTGCAAAACATAATATTACATCCTTATAATAACAAGAGTGTGGTAAGAAAACAAGAGAAAAACCGAAAATAAAACACAAAACTTAACGAAACAAAAGGTAATGAACAACAATGTAAGTATAGTTAAAATAATATTGGTTGTCTTCATTGCCCTGATAACAAAACCAAAATATACATCACGTATTTGAATTAAAAAAATTTAACGAAAGTATAATGAACAATGTAGTAACAGTAAATGTAGTGATAGTATATGTATGTGTTATTGATGTAGTAGTAAAAATGCGTTTTTAATTTTTGATATCTATTTTTGCTTATTTTTACTTAAGCAATTCAAATTCAAGCAAAGCAAAAACACATCGGATGAAATTTGAATAAAATTTATTCATAAAATAAAAAATAATTGAAATAAAAAAAATATTCAATAAAATAAAACGAAAATTTACTAAAAAGTAAAAATAAAGTCTTGTGTCCATACACACACATAATAAACATACACTATGAGTAATTATGCATGTGTGCAATAATATTTATTTTCTTTTATTGGTGTTATACACCGTGTTTGACTAATAAATGGAAAAGATCCAATCGAGGAATTCGTTAAAATTTTTTTGAGCATTTATTCGCTTTAAATATTCCAAAAAGATAACGGTGCGCGGATATACGACAAAAAAAAAATTGTTTTTTTTTGCTCATTTTTCGTCGAATTTGTTACAAAAAGTGTTTATCTCTTAACTGTAAATAAATAATTTAACATGAAAATTTTTTTCTGAATTTTTCTTATATATAAAAACAATAATAATAATAAAAATTACAATAAATAAATCTACGTACAATTATTATGTTTGGTGATTATTTTATTAAACAGTTATATTTTTGTTTTAACTTAAGATGAAGTTTGATTAAGGAAGTACTGTTTTAAGTGAATTAAACTTTTATAACATTTGTTCTTTCCAATTATAAAAATACTTTAAAATTTTTACCTAATATGCGCGCTTAGCTACATACATATACATATATGTACATCAATGCTAATTAAACGTGGCTGCGTTTTACAATTGTTACTTCGTATAATAGGCTACTGGTTGCAAATAATTAAAGGATTTTAATTAAATATTTATTTTCATACAAAAAAAAAATAACAAACAAATTAAAAAAGAAATTATTTATTTAAAAAATTTAATTATTTTTTACAAAAAAATGATAATAATGTTTAAAAATAAATCATTAGATTAATTAATTAAATAAATAATATATAAAAAAATAGCTAAAATAAGTGAAAATATTAAAAGTGTTGGATACGCAAAAGGTGAATAAAAAAATTAAAAATTCAATATAAAAATTTTTTGATTGTTTTAAAACCAAAATGTTTTAATTGCAAATAAAATTTAATTATTTATATTCTAATTAAATAATAACAATTTTTTTAATTAAAAATTTAATAATTTTTCTTGTTATCTTGTATTAATGCAAAAATTAATCTTAAATATAATTAATTGAAATTTTTCCAGTTGGAAAATTTATTTTTTATTTTTTTTAATTAATTTATATATGTATGCAATATGCTGCAAGAAATTCATAAATAATAATTTATATAATTATTTAATAATATTAGAAAAAAATTGTATTTCTTTTAAAGAAAACAAAAATACACATAAGTATTTTTACATGTACATATTTGCAAAATTTGAAAAAAAAAATATTTAAATTAAAATAAATTTATTTGATTTAACAATTTAAAAATTTATTTTAAATAACCATAACTGTTGGATTTCTACAATTTATTGATTGATCAAAGTGTTTCTCGCTTGTTGTTTTTTTTTTGACTTTAACAAATAATATCAAATGTAAATAATTTTTTATTTTACTATTTTTTATAATATAAAATGAATTTAATTAAAAAATTGTATATTTTGATAATATTTTATTAGTAACATAAGTACAATTTTTATTGTTAAAGAATAAATAAATTAAAATATAAATTTAATTTAAAATCCCATTAATAAAATATGGATTGTAACAGGCTTCGTCGACGTGGTTCGGATATCGGGGAAGAATCATCAGTGGTATGTGTTTATTGTATTGTCTTTGTTGTTATTTTAATTCCTGTTTTATTTTTGGTTTTCTTATATTTTTTCCACTGAAATGTGTTGTATACGAATAAAACAGAATTTTTATTGCATTTTTATTCAGTTAAGTTCGAGTTAAATTTTTCCCATAAAATTTTGTGTAATTCGAATCACTTTAATTTCATTTTTGAGTACTTATATAAACATGATTTTGTATAACATTTGCTAAATAAGAAGCTAATTTCTTACATTGCTCTTATATTCGAAACTTTTTTTTCTGAGTCTTTTGATTTTGCGTATCAAAAGCTATTTGAATCGTAGGATTTTCTTGGTAAAGTTATTATATGGCTCGTTTAAATTCTTCATTTTAATTCTAAGGAAAGTTGTTAGGATTCTTTGACCATCTTTGAGGTCTTTGAATATTTTATTTACATCAGTTGGAATTTGTTGAGAGCTGATTTACCATTTTCAATTAATTATTTATTTTATTTGTATTAATAATTTATTAAATAGCAGTTCCGTTGTGGAAAACTTGAATTAAACTAAAATTTGTTAAATTTTTTTTGCGTGAAAATCGACGTTTTACAACTCATATCAGAAAGATTAGGTGTGGTAGGTAACATTTGAGTATTTTTGACAATTTATAACATGTAAAATCATTTTATGTGTAAATATACATAATAATAATAAAAAATTGGCGCTCACATAGTTTTCCTTTTTTTGTACTGAGTATCCTAATCGATTAATTGTTCTTAATACTTATAAGGATTAATCGGCTTCTAAAAACTTCCAAGCCACATATTTCGATTAAGACAGAGGCTTTGTGAAATTAGGGCTTGTAGAAATAGAGTGCACAGTATTAAAAGCATGGCTTTATATTAGAATTGATAACATTTTGAAAAATATGAATCATATGGTCTTAAATTTCTGGTTTTTTATACAAACTTTTTTTTACTTTCAAATCCTTTAATTTTCAGCAACAATTTATAATTTCAATTCAGCAAATTATTACAATATAATTTGCATAAATTTATCTAACATTTTAAAACCGACGGAAATTGAAAAATGAAAACATTTAAGTAAAAATATGTATGTGTGTTTTACATAAAGCTTGGTAAGTAGCTTTTCAAAAGATATAACCAATTAATCAAAAAACTTTTGGCCTTGTCCAAAATTACGAATATCTTGTCAAATCTGAACATCACGTCAAACAAGAAATCTGTTCAAATACAACTTTAGACTTTCAAATTTTATTTTAAATTTGATAAAGGAATTGATTGGATTAAATTGGAAATTAATTGGAAATTTATTGACTTCTCTTTTTACAATTTTAATTCATATTTATTGGCATTCTAATGCACGTAATTCTTTTCTGAAGAATTTTAGATTAAAATATTTGGTTTACTTTAAAGCATAAATAGTAAACATTCATTAAAATAGTAAACATTATCACAAAGTTAAAAACAAAATTCTGTTTTACTAACACTATTTCCTTATTATTATAATATGGTTTCTCATTGCATATCCGTAGGATGAGAATAGGAAATTGACATGTATGATGAAATTGTATGGTTAATTATATCAGCTAAAGTACCTATGTAATTTTATTTTCTGTTTAAAGGACATGTACTGTCAATTCTCTTTCTTTAATTTCAAATCGGATAAAGTTTAAGTAGTTTTAAAGTGGCAATTGAAATTTTTCTGTTTGAATTCTGAGAAAAGAATTTTATAACTTACCGCATAACACAGAAATCATATTAAAAATTTGCAAAAAGAAAGATTTTAAACAAATGTTAATGTTACCGTCTACATCAGGTATGCCAAACTCATTTATCATCACGGGCCTTTTTAGGGTTCCTTAAACAACACCAAATTATACTCAAATTTATATTTTTATTTGCAAACTAAAAAAATTTAAAACATATAATTAATACAGTCATACAAAGAAATCTTTCGTTGATTTTGATCTTTCAGCCGTTTTATTACTTTTTAATATCGAAAACAATTTTTAACACAAATATGTAAATGTAAATATGTATGTATATGTAAATAATTACAAAATTTAGTAATTTCCACTTCTTCAAATTTTTGTTTTAATACAGAAAAGCACAGCATTTCGTTTTTAGTTGTAAATTTGCATCAAGTGTTTCAATATCAAGAGAAAATGGAAAGATAAAAATAGTTTGATTTCAATTTGATGACTGTTACAATATTTGTAACAAAATTAAAAGAATTAAATTTCAAAATTTTGAAACATCGTAACGGGACGCAGGATCAAGAGCTACAGGCCGCGTGTTTGACATGCCTGATCTATATTGTCATAGTGATGTTTGTCTATATTCTTGTACGAAGATTTTTGAGAAGGTGCTAAAATTGCATTTTATGCGTATATTCCAATTGTTTTGAGAAATGTAATATAATTTTTCTGAACAGTTCTTCTGATTCCATGTTAATTAGAGTAAGATTAGAACAGCTATTAAGCTTTCAAAGCCCTACATTTACAAATTGTAGAGCTTTCGAAAAAATTTCTGTCGAAAATGCTAACTTCCCCTCTTCATTCAAATAGCAAAACGCAGTGAGGTGTTAAGTTGTTTCGATTTTTTATAGTTGTTCTCGATTACTTTTAATTAAGACAATAGATTTGGAAGTAAGTAATTAAATGCTAACTATTCTGTATATTTTGAAGCTCGTATAAAGCTTTTTAAATATTTTGTTGTTTAAAAAAACCTTCACAATAGATAATTAATGTCCAATATATAGGTGAATATATGTATAAATTTAAATTTTTATATTATATTCACAGACAATTTCAAATAACATTCATTGACAACGTTTTTAATATTTTATTTAAAAAGAATTTGAAATAAAATTGAAATAGCCACAAAATCGCTACATAAAATTAAAGTAGGAAAATAATTTAAGATTTCCGAATAATTTGAACACTGTAAATTTATTGTAAATAGCTCTTTTTTAACTTTTTTGAAATATTGTAAATTGTTATGAAATCAGCCTAGTATTCTTGAAGTGTGTTTGAATTTATAAGAATATTAGCATGTTATCATTAATGATTAATATTAAGAATCTGTGTTGCCCGCAAATTTACCGTAATTTTTGTCAAAGTAACCTTTCAAGAGAAGTCAGTACTATTTTGACAGGTGCAAAGCGACCCACGTAAATATCATGTCCTTCTTGTGTGTGAAAGGTACATTTTTGTTACAATTTTATTACATTCATATAAACGATAAGTAAGCAAGTATTTACATCTAATAAATTATGCGAAATATTTTAAGTTTTATTATGCAATTTCAGTATTAACAGTTAAATTGAATGCCGTATTCGCAGTAATTCGTTACTGGTGAAAACACTAAGTCAGAAAGGCTTTTTTTAGAAATGTAATTAAACTTATGCCTAATATAAATTTTATTTATTTAATTTTTTATTTATTTATTTCAATCTATTGGGAAGTCTCCTTTACAGATTTCAGATGTATAATTAACTTAAAATAAGATAAGAAAAGAATAAACTTAACAAAATATATGTAAGTAACTAAAAATAATTGTAAAAATAAGTAACAATTTGACATAAAACTAAAAAAAAGAAAAAAAAATTAATCAAAAAACTTGATGATTTCTCTTTTAAATTTATCTCTGTTACAATGGAAATCGATTTCGGAAGCACAAACATTAAATAAATGTTGAGAATTTGCTATAGGCTCTGAAAAGCCGTAGTTAGTTCGGTGAAGATCTAAATATAAAAAACGACAAGCTCTTACATTACGAATTGGCGCATAAATATTGTACAAATTTAAAATAAGCGGGCAATTTAATCTCGCAGACAAAATATCGTAAGAATACATAGCTGATGCAACATTACGTCTAGATTCAAGAGTTTGAATGTCTATCAACTTACATTTGGCAATGTACCCAGTAGCATTCATCTCCCAATTAAACTTGCGTAAAGAAAATCTAAATGTTTATTTTTTAAATTTAAAAAAAAGAAAATTTTGTTCACTTTTAGAAGGGAGATGTTTATTTATTACTATAAAGCTATTGCATTATTCTCCTATAGCGGGACAAGTGGGGAATCTTAATAATGCCAAGTTAGTTCTACATACTTAATTCGTTTGGCGATTAATACAAAATTAGATATGGTAGCAGCAAAACTTTTTAATTCAAACATTTAACGCTATAAAATCTTTATTCATAAAAAATTACCAATTTAAAATAGTTTGTTTTTATAG